TGCTAAAAATTATATTTTTATAAATATAATAAAAATTATAATTTTATAAGATATAAATTATATTATACATATATAAATATATAAAAGAGAAAGATCCTATTAAAATATAATTTTCCTATTCTTAAAAATATAAATTTTCTCATTTACTTTAAAGAAAACTGATGAAAAGTTTGTTAAAACCGACTCTAGCAATTCCAAACCAAAAGTTCTTGTCATTTCAGTGATGCCTATTAGCCAATATGGTTGATCAGCATTCACCAATTGTACTAGATCCTAAAATCAAATGTAAACAATGTATACAAATGTATACAATTTACACAAAGTAGTAAACCCTAATTATATTCTATAGAGTTACATAATTACGTAAGTATTACAATAAATAACAAAACACCTGAAACATTAAATATGCATCTGCAGCGCAAGGACCGAGACCTTTAGGCGCTTGATTCGTTGGAATTTTCAATTCCTCTAAATTTACTTCATCAGATTCTGGCTGATCAGAATTTTGCTCATCTTCGGCAACTACTCTTTCAAATACCAAAGACACTAGTTGTCTTACAGTAGCACCGGCTGTATTTATCGTTGTACAGTCTTTTGTGAAATGCAACCGAAAACAAAGCACCAAATTCTGGAAAGATGTAATTTTGAATAAAGTATGATGAAAATATTATTGAAAAAAATGATACAAAATTTATATATAAATGGATCCTTACTCTTGCCAGAGTATCTCCATGTACCACAGCATTACTTGTAAGTAATAATGTTACAGTCTGCAAAACTTTAACTTCTTCTGTACCTGATTCCATTAACAACCACAAAGCATCTGTAATATATCGAGCACCTTTCTGATCCACTGCTTGTTGTGTTATTAGCCTTTGCATCATGCTTAGGCAAAACTAGAAAATACCATAAAGATTTATGTAGCACACATTACAAAAGATCTTTTTTACTTTTTAAAGATAATGTGTAAACATAGCTTTTAATACCTTGATGATTTTTATGTCCTTACTCTCACAACCTTGAACTATAGGATAAAGTATTTGATTTACAATATAATATATTGGTGTCCCTGGGTTATTTGAGGCTGTTCTTAACTTTGTGATTCCTTCCTCGCATGACTGTAACAAATACATAGTATAATAGTCACTATAAATTTAAAAAGCGAGGATGTGTTGTCCCAAAATGAGACACTCCTCTGACTGAGCTGAAACTTTACAGGTAATATTGTTACGATATACAGGGTGGGGCATTTTAATAGCCCCATATCTCAGAAACTAAGAGAGATGTGATACAAGAAAAAGTTTTATATGAAAGTTGTAGGTTTTCTTGGGGGAAAGAACGTGGAAATAACGGATTTTGGATAGGGGGCACTATCAAGGTCAGGTCAGGGTCAACATGAATTTTTTAAATGGAACCTCCAATTTTTTATTGCATATTCTTGTAGCACATCTCGAGAGCTTTCCAAAATGTTATAATAAAATTTTTTTCATGAAGCACTTTTCGAGTTATAAGTCTTGAATGTTATAATTCGGACGCTCCTAGGTAGGGGGGATATGAGAAAAATCTTGCTTCGCAAAGTCATTACATAAGGGAGAATGAAGGATAATTCTTAATATTGTATGTAACAGAAATAATACGTTATTTTTTAAACTTTTTTGTTAATAACTTTTTAACGAATAACGAGCGACAAATGTTGGAAGTCACTCAGAATTTCAGAATCATGATCTTGATAACATACGCCAAGGTCAAACTCATGGGGGTTGACTCCCTCCATTGGCATATTTATCGTAACGTTATTATATCGGAATAGTTGGTACAATTGGAAAAATAATAAACGATTCGTTAAGACTGTATAATATAAACGACAAGTAAAAAAGAAATAACGCCTATAACGGTCGAAATTGGGTCTTACTGCTTTAAATAATTCCATGTGAATTTATATATCACATTTGTAGTCCCTTGAATTGCGCGCCGAATGATTTTTCGGACTTAGAAACGCAACTGAACTACTATAGTAATATCACAAATTAAATTGATAAGCAATTTAATAATTTGATGCTTAATTGACACCATTTTAAATGAGATCTTAATGTACTGAAAATCTGTACATAAATTTATTGCGAAAAATATTATCCGAGAATCAAATCTGAATCTTTAGTATTCCATGCAAAAGTCCTAAGTCTTTAGAGCACCGAGGCCTTAGTATTAGTATATTCTCCGCAATAAGCGATATGTAGGAATATACGCATTTTTTAGACAGCGTTTATAAACAATAATAAACAATTTATTTAGACCTTATAATGTGATATTTCACATCACGTTTCGCAATTTCGGAAGAAGATTTATTATAATATAAAAATAAAACGCCAATGTGAGCCAGCACAAGATGTAATTTGTGAAATTAATTATTTCTTAAAAGAAAAATTTACAAAGAAATTTACAAACGTTTCGGCAATATGATTTTGTCCTCTTCAAGTGTCAAAGGTAAAAAACGGATTAATAATTCTGTCAACAATTTTGTCAACGTTAAAATAAAAAATGGAAATCACATACGGTATATCGCTATTAATAATACTGTTCTCTACGTCTGTAGTATTGATACTCAAACAATGATGGCAGTCACTGAGTAAAATAATAACATACATGAAGTATTAAACCGAATCGAAAATCAATTACAATAAGCAGTAGAAACTTACTTGAGAACAGGTAAACGAAATTCTTAAGCGTGGAAAGTGATCTGATCGTGTCAAAGTATAAAACATAAATGAGAAGACAAGAAGTGCGAAAGACAACTGAGAGGCATTATTATTGTAAATAACCTCTGAGATAAAGACACTTGAAGAGGACAAAATCATATTGTCGAAACGTTTGTAAATTTCTTTGTAAATTTCTTTGTAAATTTCTTTTAAGAAATAATTAATTTCACAAATTACATCTTTCTGGCTCACATTGACGTTTTATTTTTGTACTATTATTAAATATTGGAGCCTTATATCACTTTGTTTATTATTAAGATTTATTATGTACTACTCAAAATTATTCGAAAGATGTTTCAGAATGAAATGTATATTCAATGAAATCTCTTATTTCAATTGTTCGATTAATATAACTTGCGATATAATGCATGATCTTTTCAAAAGTGTTTGCAGGTACGATTTCACAAAAATAATTTAATATATTTTCTAATAAAGTATTTTACAATAAAACAACTAAATAACGAAATTAGATACTTCCATCATAAATCAGATCTTGATAAGAAAAACAAACAAGGATCTTGATAAAGGGAAAAAATATTTGATAACAGAAATGTCTGCACTGACCTGTTAGGGAACAGAGAATAAGAATTCCAATCTATCAGAAACTGTGTATTCCACAATACATGATTTCTGATAGGTTAAAATTCTTATTCTATATTCCCTGTTTCCTATTCCTTTCATTGTGCGCAGCCCCTTACTTCACTTTTGTTATAGATCTAATTCTTCATAATAATGAAGTTGGAATTTTTATCTTACACTTTGTGAGACTATCCTTAAAACTGTACTTAAGACAATCTCAAATGTAAGAATTGACTACAGATACCGGCCATATTAGCATCTTAAGATGTTACTTAAGATGATTTTGAAATAAGAATGAACTATAAATATCAGCCTATGAGTACTAATTAAAAATTAAAGATTGAATACATGGAAATTGTATTACAAATAAGTACAAAATATAAAAAGTAACGATAACAGTAATTGTTAAATTCATTGGTTACTACGTTCCCGGTCTACAAAAAAAAAATAACAGTAACGGTGTAACAAGTAACTTTCATTTCTTAGTACAGTTACTAAATTTATGAAAATAAAGGCCCCTATCCTTACCTTTGCACTAGGACCCCGAAAATCTTTTGCATAGCCCTGGCAAGTTATATAGTTATACAGATTTCTAACTTGTTTCCGAGTCGTAGCTTAATCTTCAAAGAGAAAAGAAACTTAATCAAGACCTCTAAATGGAAGCTTCCAGTTTCACGGTCCAACTAATAGTAGGACTATGTTCAGAAACACTCAAATGCCTCTATGTATCATTTTATCCTTGTTTAACGTTCAATGAATAGGAATAAAATGATACATAGGGATGAGGGAGGCGGTCAGATGGTATTTCTGAACGTAGCCTAGGATATAACAAATGGTCTCACGGTTACATACCTCTTTGATTTGAGGGTACTTCTTCTTAGTCTCCGAAGCAAGTACTTTGAGATCCGACTGGAGGACCTCCAGGAACTTAGAGGCGTTCTCCGGATTGCTGCCAACAGCGGCGGCGCTCGCCATCATTGACAATGCCACCGTTGCTCTTGTTTCTCTAGATCAGTACGACTTCCAGATGCGGGGGCATGACAGCTCGATGACAGCTACCGGACTGGAGGCTAAGCGCCACGAGTGTTCAGTCGTCGGATGATGACCGAATTTCGAATTAACACGCTTTGCCACGCCGCTGGTCGGTGACGATGATAGCGAACAGGCAGCGATGGTCCATCGGAGAGTCGCCTTTTCAAGCTCGTCGCGCTCGCGGATCACATCGGGCGGGTCGTCGCGGACACTCGTAAACCACGCGCAGACCGCGACGTTGTTCTCGCTTGTCTGCCCAAAATTCACGCTTCTTTAGATAATGCCAATTCCAGTGAAGATCAATACAACACAAAATTCATGTAGCTACAACCTGGCGCAACTACGAGTCTCCCAAATGCTAACACAATTGACACCAATCAACACACAATTTGACACGATTCAACACTATTGACACAACTCGCAAACCACGTATGCAACAGCGCTACTGCAGCTTGCATTGTCACCAGTTGTCACTGGTCTAGTTTCCACCGAGAAGTAAAGGCTGGTAAAGGCACATTTTCACGAGCCACTCAAACCCAGACAGAAACTGGATTGGTGGTTCTGATATTGGACAATGTGGCGCTAATAGCGTCTTCCCGAACGCACCTTATGAATTACATCAATCTATTTGCGTCCATAACCTCAAATTGAGATAACTTCCAATAGCAGTTTTATAAAAGTGAATAGAAAACGCTTATTGTTAACAAGTTATTATGTCACTCGCGCGACGAGGACAGGTTTGTGTCTCACTGATATTGCGTATAATAATATTGCAGTCTTTACACTTGTTACCTATAATTTGTAGATATTTGTCACAAACGTGGTTGATTATTTTTGCAGTCTCAAAATTGCTAATTAATTTACAATTGTTTTTAACTTATTTTCAGCATTGGGGTACATTCGCCCGCATTTGGCATGTGTACGATGCAAAATGGCAAGATCCATATAAGAGTGCTGAAATGTTAAAACATTATCTTCTGGGAACGAACAAGCCAATATATCATCCACTAAGTGAGTATCTGTTAGTTTTCTCTTTTTTTTCTTATTCTGGAATACCTATATATAATTTAGGTAATTATTCATTTCAATACCAATTTAATTTATCATTCCTCAAAAATTTTTGCACTTTCGGAAAAAAATGATTTATACAAAAATATAATCCAAAAGGGAATGAGTAATGACAAAATATTTCCAAAGAAATTAATTTTTTGAAGTCATGCGAAGATTATCTTATTAAGATGGAATTATATTTAATTTACTTGAAAAGATTTACATTTTTTTTCTGACATATTTTTATATAAAATAGATATAAAATATTTTATAAACTATCAATTTTTTTATAACAATCTTTATGCACAGAATGAGATACAATAAAGTTGCTTTTAAAAAATTAAATAAAAATTAATTAAATAAAATTGATAATTATGCATAAATACAAACTTTTAATAAAAAAATATAGTCACAATTATTAAAAAAAGAAAAAATGTTCTTATAACTGTTAATATATACTTAATAATTTTTATGTAGACAATTGCGGCGATCATGTAGTAGTAATAAACAGCAAGGAAATTGCCTTACGTGGAGACGAGTGGCAAAAACGTGTATACTTTCATCATACTACATATCATGGAGGTGCCACTTGGACTCTTGCATGGGAATTACATTCTAAGGATCCAACTTTGGTAACTAATTTACTCATAATTTCAAAATGTATAATAATGTAAAATATTATTAGCTATTTCATAACATAACTATATACGTGTATATGATTGGAACAGATTGTAGAAAAAGCTGTATACAGAGCATTACCGAAGAACTTACAACGAAGGCACAATATGCAAAGATTACACATATTCCCAGATGAAAAGATACCTGAAGATATGTTAAAAAATATTAGTAATCAAATCAAACAACTAAGGGATGTCCCTGTACGACTAAATCATATTCCAAAAACGGAAATAGATAGCTTTCCACAACTTTTAAGATATCCTAAAAATCATATTCTTAAATAAGTTTAATACTATATGATAATATAGTCAAATAATAATATATATTTATACTGTATATATTAATACCAAAACCTTTCATAACTCTTTATAAGTCAGTAAAGTTCAAAAGTATTTGTTCTTTCAGGTCCAAAATTAGAATTTTAATTATTAAAATTCTAATTTTGGAACTAGAGAGAGATATATATACCATTACGTAATAATATACACTTACATAGAATCTAATTATAACTGTGTATACAAATGCAAAACAGTTATATATACATGCGTGTATGTATTAAATTAATATCAAATATCACAATTAAAATTTCTCCCATTTCTCCGTAATTCTATCTGATTCGTTAGCATCATCATTCACAATTACAGAATACGTATGTGAAGTATCCCATTTACTTTGTTTTTGTTTATTGGATGGTTCTTCGGATTCTGGATCTCTTGGTTCAACTGTGACATCAGCAATTCGTGGGAGTGACAAATTCCTCCCGTACAGTTCTGAGTTTTCTGCATCGAAATCATATAAGTTACGCAAAATAGGTACATCGCAGAACTGACATTGCGGTTCCTCATATATATCTTCTAAACATGGATGAAAGATTTGGCCGCATATCGGACAGACCCGGTATTCCAACAACGTTATCTGCAATAATGTCATGCAACATCTAGGTAGCTTGTGACCACGTGGACACGCTCTAACATGCCACATTCCATCTATCCTTTCACCACATAGGTTACACTTTTCAATTTGGTTCGAATAGAACGTAGTCATATTTAATATTTCCTGAATACGCTGATTTGTTGTATTTTTGTTCTTTGAATCCTCATCTGATGGTATGCCTTGGTATATTTCCAGATATCGTCTTAATAAAAACACTGTAAACGTCTGATTCTCCAATAATGTATTCTTCTTCATCAAATTTTCCAGATATGTACAAGCGGAATGTAGAAAAATTAACGGAAGCGCTTCCGTTATCTTACTTTCTCTTATATGCTCCATATTTGGTATTGGCTTCTTCGTTGTGCACACATTCATTATTACTGTCATCCACATTGATACTTGCAGTTGGTAGAGTGATAATGATTCAAGATTCTTCGGAATCGGGCGAAGTATCATACATGGATCTTTTGCCTTGATAGCTTTTAGTCTGAGGATTTCCATACAATCCCAGATATTTCCGAGATTTGTACTGTCATTAATAATAGATAATGGATCACAAAATGTATCTTTTAAAGTGAACATATGCATTATACTTGGTTCTCTTGTCACCAGATGATCATACACCATATTTGGACTAGTTAAATTTACAAATATTACTTTATTTGGAGAATGAGCGAGTCCAAAATATTGAACAAGTGTCTGTGGTAGATGACTTTTAATATTGGTACTAACTAAATTTTTTGATTGTATGTTAATAATGAAAGTATGACTGTTTTGTGTAGAGATTAAAAATTGCTGAGCAATAATAGGAGCTACACCTGAAAAAATAATTAAACATATAACAATAAATAATATATTGTAACATATTTCTAAGTTTAATTAAAAAATGTTTATGTAACATAAACATAGAAAAAAACAAAATATATTCGTAAAATTTGATTGCAATAATATAATTTTCAAAAATCTTTACCTGTAATGGTAAATCCTCGTATATTCAAGTATCGTATATTTTTCAATTCTCCTGTCGTATTTATGCATAATACCAAGACAAAAGAACCTTTGACAGCAAAAATCTTTATACTTGATTCGTCTTGAGGAATTATATATAAATAATTAACTGCTATACAATCAGAATCGACATACTTTTGTACACATGTTATTTGTAGATTATTATCCTTATCTGTTAACTTTATACCACATATCGTACCACCAGAATATCCAACAGCAATCAGATGTTCGTTGGCCTTAATAGTGATCCAACATAATACGTTAATTTTTGATGCATGATTTAAATGTATTAATTCGAAAAATATAGGTTGCAAGCTTTTCGTAAAATTTGATATTCTAGGAATCTTCCAAATCACTATATTGCCATTACGATAGGCTACAGATAAATATGCAAAGGAAGTATCTTTTGTTTTGAAAAGTTTGCTCCATGTCATAGAGCAAGCTTGTAATTTCTTTACGCTCTCGACTATCCTTGCACTCTGGTTATTATGAAAATTAGATTTATTCAGATCAGCTTTGATTTCATTTTCTATAATTTTTAGCCGTAGGGACAAAACATCACATATGGAATACCAATTATTAGAAACTTTATGCAATAATTCAACCGCACCTGCCGAATTTAATATCGCTAATATGCATTGACTAGGAGAGATCAAATTTTTAGGGGACCATGCCACCTTTATTATTTTATGAAACTTGTCAGTTACTCCGTCTAATTTTGGCGTAATGACATCATCCATAAGAAGTGAATAAATCTCTTCACGTATCATATCCCATATTGAGGAATCTACCTCGCTTCTAAATGCATATGCTGGTAAAGTGTCGGAAGGATATATAAAAGAACGGGAAAACTTGAAAATTGGATTCGGCGACATAGGCGAAGGTTGTAACTCCTGTAAAACAATATTGTACCCAAATTATATTGTTAAGTTGTAAAGTTGCTGTATTTAGATAATTCCATATTATGCTGATTTACAATGAATTGGTAGTCTTAAGTCTTATCAGTCAATTAAATAGTGAAGTTGATCAACAGTTAACTTATACAACTAATGGATTTTCTATAATAAGTCATTACTTAAGCAATAGGTTTTCTACAATAAGTAATTACCTAAATTTTAAGTCTTAAATCATAAGAAATTAATTAATCACAGTTAAATGTGACAAGAATAATTGATTATGATTGGTTTTCTTATAGCTTAAGACTTAAAGCTTAGGTAAGACTAATTGTAGAAAATCCATTAGGAACCCACTTAGGACTTCTTACTACCGACTTGCAGAACCCTGGTTAAGATTTCCGACTATCAATTCATTGTAGAATCAACTTTATACATAAACATAAAAAATATCACAATATAAATATGATAAATAAAACTCGCCTAAATTGCGAGAACTATTTATCGCTCAATTTCCCTTTAAATATAAATACAATGTCGAGGAAGATTTAACTCTTTTGTGATGTGAAAAAATGATGAAAAAACATAACTTACGAGGACGTGTACACCCTTCTCCGTAATTATCGAAATGTGATTATCAGGTGACCATTGTATAGCGAACGGGTTCACCACTAATGGAGAAATATTGATACTACAAAGTTCTTCTGTTTCCATAAAGGTACAATTTCACGTGCTGCTAAAATAAGCGGTAATTATTCAGAGGAGATCGATTGTGCTTTTTTGAAATGGAGTGAAAATTACAAAAGTGAATAAATTCACTAGGTGTTGACCAATGAAATTATAAGTATTTTAGTGAAATTTGCTCATTTTTGTAATTTTCGTCTCATTTCAAGTACACAATCGAACCCCTGTTTACCCCTCCCCCCTCAAAAATCGATGAAATTTTTTTTTCTTACTCGACACGATTTTACATGAAACGAAAGAATCTGATAAAAAAAAGCGTCATTCTACTCCACGAACCGAAATATTATCGTTAAAGTTGACGATTATTCAGGTTAGGAAATCTGTCATGCAACACTGCGATGTGAGCAGATGTGAACATGCGCTGCGTTAGCCGAACTTTCTCGTGACCGGCTAATTGAGGTTGGTCTTCTTTTTACTCCATAGGCCTGTTCTTTTTGGCTGAACTTTGGAACTTTCTTCTTCTTTTCTCCTGAAGAGAAAAGGAAGAAAAATGAACTGGTTCAAAAATTCAGCTAAAAAGAACAGGCTTCATGTTTTCCACAACAATGCCACGATGAACGATATCCAGATTGCGTGCCGATAATTACACGAGATAAAAGAGATTAAAACAAATGAATCGTTGATTGTATTTTGTTTTCTGTCTCTTGTATAACGCTAGTATCCTGTGACTATATCAAGCAATTTTTAAAGATATATTATCCGCATTTTTTTTACAAATGTCGTAACATTTATACCTCATACAGCACAGAATTTGCAGCAATATCGCTGCAATAACGCTGCAATATTACTGCAACATGCAATATTGCTGCAATGTTGCAGCATTATTGCAGCAACTTTTGTACTGTAGGGGACTAAATTATATGCATGTATGAAAGTTGTGCTTATATTCTATTTTTCTTGAATAACAGTTTTATTGTTTATTAACTTCATTTGTTATTACTTTGTTGCAAACTAAACTTGAAAAAACAATGATAAAATTTTTCAATGTTTTTGTATAAGCACTTTAAATATTCAAAATATTAAATAATTAATGCAAAATTTTATTGCGATTTATTCGGAGATATTAACTCGGATCATTGCATCATGACTACAATATGTTTTTGCGGAAATATTATATTATTTTTTACAGGGTTGACGAGTAACATGTTATATATGTATATATATATATATATATATAAAACTTGTAACGCCGTTACTTTATTGATCACGTTACCTTGTTATAATAACGATTTGGTAATGACATTGTGAATTTTTTATGATGGTAATGCTAACATCAGAGTTAGAAAAGTCAATCGTTACTTGTAATGGATTGAAAAAGTCATTCATTACTGAAAAAAATAACTCCTAATTTGTAACGCGTTACTTTTTAGTAACGAGTAACGTTACGCGTAACGTTACGCGTTATTCGTTATAACTTTTTCAGTGTAACGCGTGATATAGTGACATAAGTTACTTTTCAAAGTGATTTTTCTAACCTTAGTACAACCTTAGCGTTTAAATAGTTAGCGTTACAGTTATAAAAAATTGCAAATCGTCATCAAATTGTTTACTATAAAAAGTAACGCGCCAAAGTAATTGAAAAGTAACGTTTGCCAACCCTGATTTTTTATGCAATATTATCGTTTATTTTACAATAATTTCAAATATATCAATATATGCCCCGTGTATCAACTATCTTATTTTTCTTTATTTAGCGGCAGTTAATATGTCTCTTCCGTTGTATACATTTCCGAAATGTGTACTCTTTTATTGTCGATTCATTGCCTTCCGAATTACG